ATGCAGTGAAGAGCTGTGGGGCATTAAACCACACAGCACAGAAGAGACTCTTGGAAAAATCAGTCTGATCCACTTTTGGTGGGACATGCATATGCTATTAATAAAATACAAAAGATTGACATATTTCTCTGCAAGAAAGACAAATAAATTTGGGGGCTTTTTCAATTTATGATATTTACAAGAGAAAGCCAAAGTTCTGGCTAGCATCTGGATTAGGAATATTACTGTGCAGTTTTAGGTGGAGATCTTTTTACTTCCTTTGAGGTTTCCCATTAAGAGCTCTTTAGGGTTCCTAGTTCTGTTACCAAACAGAGTTCAAGGGAAACATCATTATCTGCTTTAAATCATTGATTTTTACAATTGGAACACATTAACTCAAAACCTTTTTAAGGTTAGGCCCTCAGTGCAATTACATTTAAATGCTACATTGTGTCAGTCTAATTGATATACACACACATTATATAAATAACTTGCAAGTGGAATCATTCCATGAGAAGATACAGAGCACGGATTCCAAAACTCCTGTGCTTTAAAAAAAAAAAAATGTTCATCATCTACTTTTAATAAAGAAATGTATGATGGAGCAAAGACATATAGCTAGTACTTTGCCACCATCTATAACCTGCATAGTCAACAGAAAATGTTGCTGAATGTGGCTACTGGTAGGCATTTAGAGCCTATCAATTTAGTCATTTAGAGACGATTGCATGGAGAGAATGCAGACGAATAATTTTTTAAAAATTCCTAGATTGCTCTCAAAGTTTGATGAGGAACCATGTTTTTTCTCCCAAAGTTTAATTCTTCTCATTACATTCTCATTCTCATTGATCCCTTCTCATACAAGGGATTAAATCTCACCTGAAATTTCACCTGTGTATCTAGCAGCAAGTATCCCAAGGACTGATCCCCAAGCACAGGGCCAGCTTGAACAGAACAGAATTCATCAATGTTATTTACCTCCTGAAGCCCCTAACAGGCTGATCACATCTAAAGTGCCCATCAGAAATGCTACCTTGCCAGTTCCTGAATTGAGCACAGGCCAAAATCTGTGCCAGCAAGTGTTCTAACAACCAACTGTACAGATGAGTGAGCTACAGCGTCCCAGAAAATTTCCTGGCACTACCAAGTCTAGTGACACATATGTAGTGTGACAGGCTTAACATTAAGCCTTTAACATACTCATTTTGGTCTCGGTCAAAAATGCGATTTAACCTTTTTTAACCACCTATTTTAGGATGGAACAATCTCTAAATGAGCTTTTTTTGCTCTAATTCTGACTAAAAGATGCACCTGACATCTCACAGTGTTATTGCTATTAAAGCAAGAGCAAAGCGTGGGTTTTTATGACATTTAGCTTTGGAAGTATATTACCTATGGTACTAACAAAGTTGAAGTGTGGTCTCTGCAAATAAGAAACATATTTTACATGTTTTCTTGATGATCCAATCCAAAACAAGGTTGAAAACCTCTTTATTTTTTAATGCACATTGAATTTTATAAAAGCTTGTAATAGTCACAGTCTTCATGAAAAACTCCAGCTAAAGGAATTTTTGCTCTCCCTTTTTTTTATGACTCTCAAGATAAAAACATTGTAGTATGATAATGTCTTGAATAACCTTTGTATAATATCCATGAAGAGTAACAGACTTCAGGGTAGTCAAGAACAATGTGAACCAAAAAGCTGTGCAAACAGGCAGAATTTGATTTGCAAAATGAGCATGAACAGCAACAATTGGTAAACAGAAGCTGCTTTGGCATTGGAAGGAGTTTGAAGAATAGATGTGTGGATCTCCAACCCTCTCACAGTGAATTTACTGTGTATCAATACATTCAAGTTTAAGTTGTGGGGATAATTAGCACAGACACATCTTCTGTTAAGATCTTAGCAGTAACTCTCCTGGACTTTAAAGTCCTGGAAATTATGACATTTGTTCAGTATGCTCAAACGTGGCACAACTGTGTATTTCATCATTTCACTCTTGACGTAACTTTTGTTTCATTTAGCTTCTTCAGGTTTCTGTGTGCATTTAAGATTAGCTCAAGATACAAACGGCAAATCTATCACTAAAGCTAGTCTCTGAACCATTATAAAAATTCATAAAAATAGTGCCTCAAAGTTTGAAGGATTTGCATCTGGTGATTATTAACTTAAAACAGGGTAACTGAATTTTGCATAGCATTATTTTCTAGTATCAGGATGTTATGAAGCACCAGGTCTTTCATAAAAACAGTGTAGTAACTTCCCCTTCCAATACTTATTTCCCAGCCTTTAAAAATTATTTATTAATTTTTTTCAATTTGTCTTTCTGTTAATTCAATTACATTAAATTAAGTGAATTAAATTACATTACAAATATTGGCAGTTCAGCATACTAGAAGTATCAGTACAGTAGCATTTTGGCTAAACACAATACTCTGAGTAAATCAAGACTTCTATTTTTTTTGTTTTGTACAACTCTCACTGATCTGTCCAAGAATCAGTCCTTACTTTCATACCCTTTCCCCCCCCTCTAGCAAATTAAGTCACTTATATGATACCAAATGCAGAGAACACAGCTCAAGTTCTACTTGGGCTTCTAATGTTTCAAATTTATGGGAAATATTCTTTTCAAAGAGAAAAGTATATCAGGACAATCTATGATTTTAGAAGCTATAACTGTCCCTTTTTAAAACAGGAGATTTAACATGTCTCTAGCAAATTCTACAAGCAATGTACTGGGTATCAATTATTTGTTCACTTAACACATTAGCTACTTGACACGTTTGCAGTCTAGCCTGTTACTTAAAAATATGAGCAAGGAAAATTTTCTGCCACCTAAAATCACACTTCAACTCCAGACAGAAAGAGTCCATGGCCCTTAAAGAACTATTGAGGTAAATACTGACTACCTCCCTGATGCAAGGTACAAAACCAAAGAGAAAGTGGCAAAAAGGAGGACTCTCTCTGAAAAGAAGGTACAGAAGTTATATGGGGGAATTAGCAGAACTGGAGTTGGCAGTCACTAAAAGGAACAGAATAAAGGCAGCCGCTTAGGAGCACTGAGGAAATAGAAAGCAAGGGCTGGATCAGTAAGTACTCACTGTATAATTCTAAGCTAGGGGCCAAGAAAAAAATTACTTGGGGGTGGAAAAAAATTAAGAGTAGAAAAATGCTGAAGCAAACAGTAAAAAGTAAGTATTGTTTAGAGAACAAGCTATATCTTAGATAAATTAATAATTCAAAGCTTCATGATTCGTTTATCCAGGTCCAAAAAATGCACATGGTAAAGACAGAAAGAAATCCAGACCATTACTATGGGTTTTACATTATTGGATTACCATATTTTGAGGAATTGAGGCAAACTGGGTTTTTTTTATTCAACTTCAGAGGATAAAAATTATTTTTAGATTCAGCATAAATGACAACCTTCTATAATTAGTCGGCAGATACAATGACCTATAGTTCTTCTTCAAGATCTTAATACATTTTTACTTTTTAAAATGAAAACACAACACTCCCAATACACACACAATCAATCTTCTTGCATCACATCTGAAGAACACATTTGCAGTTTATCAGCAGTTTCATTTGTTAAGATCAAGTGAGGTGAAAGGCACCAATAGAACATTCTTTAAAGAGAACCAAACTAGTAGCTTATCTTAGGTAAACATACTGTCACACGGGAGAACAAACTACTTGTATCTGTACAACTGGCATGTGGACATACTATGAAAAAGATCGAATAAGAGCCCTAGATAAAACTATGCAAATACCTTTGTCCTTGTGTACCCTCTAGTGGCTGTCAGGTTGTGCTGGCCTGACAGCAACTAAGCAGGTTATTTCCTCAACCAGGCAGAATCAGTGGTCCCTCTGCAACAGCACTTTTAAAGAGATGGAGATTCATGAGATCAGGGTTCTGAGCAGGCAAAAGTATGGATTATCTGAAGTCTAAAGTTTACAACAAATTCTGCCTTGTTAGTTTAATGAAGTGAATCCAAGTTTTCCACTTTAAAAGTGCCAAGATACATCAAGTTATCTACACAGCAAGCATTCAGAGTACGTGCCTGTGTAACTGTGACATATGTGCAAGCTGCACGCAAGCTGTGGCAATGTCAGTAAGTTAAGTTGGGTGTTACTCTTCCAGAAGTCCTCCCAGGTAGAAAAAAATCCAATACACAGGTTGCAGAGACTACATAAGAGCCACTTACATATGAAATAGCAGTTCCAAAGTATTGTAAAAACATGATTTAAACTAGAACTGGCTATTTTGTTTGTATGTGCTGAAGAACTGGATTACATCAGGGACAAAAACTGTCATCCAGCATAAGAACATTCTCCAAGCAAACAACTAAAGTTACATTTGGTTCAGCTTAAACAAACATAAAACACTGTAAAACAGACATTTCAAATAAACCCACTAAAAATCTCCACCCCTCACACCCAAACTCTCCAATAAATAAAAGCAAAGGTCAGCACCCTAGTCAAGGTACGAAGTCCTCCCCATAATGGAAAAAAAACTGAAGTCAATTATCACTGCTATGATTTAGCAAAAGAATATAAATTGTCTTCTACTGTTTAGTGGACTACACAGCTGATGAAACACGAAACAGTCAAAAAACGAATATCTAGTGTTTTTAACAGCTCATATCTACTTCTTCATGAGCTCTAGATGCAACAGCTAGTTGCATCATTCAGCTAAGTATGAAACTCATTAAACAGAATAAGAAGAAACACCTTGAAAACTGCTGAAGTGTTGAGTCTTCAACAAAACATTACAAAATTTGTGCAGGAGGGAAGTATTCTGAGGCCTCTCATGATGCTGTGCCATTATAAATGAAGTACTGAAATTATGAACATGATGAAGGCAAAGGATAGAATAATTAGGCTAGATACCAATTCCTATATACTACAAAAAAAAATACTATCTTGAAATGATACGATATGATGCACATTCGCAATAAGACTTCACAAAGAACAGGATGTACACCACAGATATACAGCAAGTCAGAAGTAAACTGAATCCCAGGCTACATGTACAACAGACATGACTTTTAATAGAAAGTCTCTTTTCTTCAGTACAGCATATAGACAAAGCTGTCCAGTCAGTCCTGCAGACAACTGAAATAGTTTGCCTTCAGATACAGCAATTAAGTAGTCAGCAGTAAGAATGCTGGCTCTACTCTACATGGCAGGTGCAGGTGTTTTTTCTGTACCCCCGATCTACATTAGAAAAAAAGCCATGTGATCATATAGCCAAATCAGCTCTTTGCTTATGCTATTCACCTGCATAATATTTTCATAGGCAGAAATGCAAAAAATCCCTCTTTTGGTGTGTCTACAGCTTGAGTTTAAGCTAGTCCTTTCTCCATTTTTGAAGAGAAAACCTGAACAACTGTGTGGCCAGTCATTCATCCCCATGCCTGAGTTTTGCAGTAATGCAGTACAAGCTTGCCATCACTTCCAAAACACTGCAAGAAAAACAAAAAACAAGAAATGTTACAATTATTAATGGGCTATCATATACATGAAGCAAAACAAAAAGACTTCCTTATCAGATAAACACAGATAATATTGTTAGGAGAAAACTTCCCATTACAATGAGAGGCATGAAAACACACTGCACATGAAGGAATGCATTTCCAGAGAGTACATGAAGTCACATCTCTTTGGATCCCATTCACACATATCTGTGAATATCAAGTACTCTACATTAATTGCAAGCTATTATTGCTAGAGGCAGTGAGAGATTTCAAGTGCCCAAGGTGTGCTGACAAATCTTCCTAAATACATTTGGAAAGGATATTTAGGATGAAAGTTACCTCATAGAGGGTCCCCACTTCTTGGTCTGGAGATGGAGCAAAAGACTGGTTTACATATATGAACTGCAAGAAAATGAGAAAGAAGAGATAGAGATCACACAAGGATCCCACTGGGAACACAGAAGAATCATCATGCAGTTAAAAGTTCTTATCTTTATCTTTAATCTTTAAGCATGTGTCATGGTTTGACACGGGAAGAGAATTTTTTTTAGAAGGAAGAGGTCCATCCAGTCAGGGGTCAGGTTTAGATACTGACACTTGGGTGACCAATTGAAGGTGGACACGCCTCTGAGAACACAGAGGGGTTAAAAGCGGAATTCCCAGGAGGACTCGTCCTTCTTTGGTTCCGGTCATCGCATGATACGGACCTCCCCTGCCCAGCCCGGGCTGGGTGGGGGAGGGGAGCCATGCGGCCTGCAGAGGTAGGCCAGGGGGTGAAGGATCGGAACCGGCTGGGTCAGCTCCTGCGGATGGAAGGGTGGAGAACATCTGAGATGTTTTTGTTCCCCCTCCCCTAAGCCAGAGGGAAAAGAGATAGAGAGCCAGCAGACACCTGGGAGTTTGCCGGCGGAGGAGAAGGAGAAGGGGGGGGAAGATGCCCAGCGTGGGAGACTAGAGAAAGAGTCCTGGGCTGAGATTGCAGCCGTCCGGGGAGTCCGGGAATTTTAACCCTTTCCTGTGAAATGAAGGCTTTATGAAATATTACTCCTCCTGAATTTGAAGAAAAGAGAGACAGCCTGAAACCTCAGATGTTCAGAGAAGAAGGTTGGGGGCAGATGATAGAGTGGCTTTTGGCTGGACTCTGCTTGTTTACCATAGACTGAACCACTCTTTCTTTCAAGAGGGACTGCATTTTAGGGGGATGCATTGGTGAGCCAAGAGACCTTCTTCAGCAACTACCAGTTTTGGAGTAGACAGAGAGAGAGCTGAGGAGGGTGTGAGGATGCCCTCCATCTTCAGAGAAGAAGAGAAGGCGATCTCTGTCTTTTGGACCCTCGGCCCCAGGGGAAAATGGGGGGGACTCTAGTCCCGAATTGTGATACTGGACTGTTGTTCCTGGTGGTCCTTGGCAAAGCATCCTTAAAAGAGGCCCTATAAGCAGTCTCTGTCCATGCACGGTGGTGAGAGCACTGTAACATGGAGAGGAGAATGTCACACTGGCCGGTGTGTCTGGGCGGTGCCACGTGTGACATGGAAACACAAGAGGTGGCAGCTGTGTTTCCTGGGAGTCTGTGGTGCGAGGGGGGACTCCTCTCTTCCCCGATGGACTCAGTATTGATTATATTGAAGGGTGAAAGCTTGATTAAGGATCCAAATGGGTCTCGCTGGGGTTTGGTGAAGTTGGGTGGAGGGAAGAGAAATGTTTTGGAAGGTTTTCATTTCGAATTTTGTGTGGTTTTTTTTCTTTCCTTTCTTTTCCTTTTATAGTAGTAGTAGTAGTAGTGTAATAAAGTTTTTTCCTTTGTTATTAAGTTTGGCCTGCTTTGCTCTGTTCTTGATCACATTTCACAGCATTTGATTGGTAAGTTGTATTTTCATGGGGCGCTGGCATTGTGCCAGCGTCAAACCATGACAGCATGTAACAGAATATGACCAGTTACTATCTTCACTTCAGCATGGATGAACAACAGGACCATGAGGAGACCCCTCTGTCTGGCCAGCCAGACCAAGCCAAAGTCAGCATGCTGACTTCCTTTTCCTGCAAGCAGACCCATTACTCTCCCATACAGCTGCACAGAGTGGTTTAGCTCTTGGTCTTATTTCAACTCAAACCACTCATGCTATTCCATATCTGCTCAAATAGAACAGCCATGACAGAAATTAGTAACATCTTGTTCTATTTTCAAGTCACCCTTCTCACTTCCTGTTCCAAAAAATACATTTACACGTATAGGAGCTAATCCTCAATGACAAAGAGGGCATTAGGATCTGCTATGTTAGGCAGCAGTGGGCACCAGAGTATCATGTGCTATTTTCAAATAAAAGACATAAAATTCCTAGGGCTTTGTTCTTCAAGTATAGCCTTAGGCTTCAGCCACACAGGAAGGCTACATGCTCCTGTGTTTTTTAGTCTTGAGATAATGAGATAATAGTCACTGAATCAAACTATCAAGAATGTCCTTATCCTTCTTCTTTGAGATATTAAACCACAGAAAAGCAGATCCCTCAAGATTTCCAAGTGACTCAGAAGGCCAGTGCATTTATGCCTATCTACTTAAATAAGATCCTCCAAACCAAGAATGGAATGAATTCAGCTACACTTCAGTTGACTACTTTAATGAGTCTAGCTTTAACTGTCTATCTTAAATAAAAACTTTGGACTCTAGTGAGAGTTCAGTGGAGAACAACAAAATCAGTCCAACTGTATTTCCAGGTCTTCTAGTGTTATCATGAGGCCACTTAGGCAAGTCACTTCCACAGGAAGAAACCCATAAGTAACATTGGCAACCTGCTGACCAAGGACAAACACTTCCCAACTCCCCATTTTAAAATCAAAATCAGTCCTATGACAGTAGCTAAACTGTTGTAGATGTGAGATCTCAAGCAAACAGACACTCAAGATTCAGAAAGCTGATCCCAAAAACTATGGACTGCTTCTCAAATACTCAGTCTCTATACCCAGTTCCACCAGTTACATGGTGCCTAGCAATGTTTCCCTGTGACACACAGCTGCCCAGCATGCACACAGCTCCGCCTGGCAGATACCAAGAAATACAGACACTACAAAAAGCCCAAAGGTCAGTGCCGAGCACAATCACACCATGCTGCTACAGCTTGCTCAATATTACATCCTATTAAAAACCACCTTAAAAGCACTGGGTGGGGGATCTTTCAAAAATTGGGAGCAACATTTAGGAAAGGCCACCTGGTTAGTTAACAACTGAGGTTCCACCAATCGAGCAGGTCCTGCCCAGTCTAAGTCACTGAATGTAGTAGATGGAGATACAGTCCCAGTGGCACATGTCAGGGGTTTGTTAGGGAAATCAGTGTGGATCAATTTTGCCTTGAGTACAGACAAACCCATTCATGGGATTGTCGTTGCTCAGGGACCAGGTTGTACCTCATGGATTTCACAGAGATGGAGCAACAGAATGTGTACCTCAGGGAGATCTGATTGTGGGGTAAGACTCATGTGCAAATATCACTGTTTGCTGGATGTTACTGCCAGTGTCTGTACATGAAAACACACAGACATGAGACAGAAAGAAATGTGTAAGTGTCAAAGGTTTGAGCAAGTGACATAGAAGGAAACGTGTAAGTGTCGAATGTTTGAATAAGTGAGATGGAAGGAAATGTGTATGAGTAAGTGGAATCTGGAAGTTTTTACTTGATTAAGTTTTTACATGCTGTTGACGATATGGAGATAAGGGGTGGAATGTCATGGTGTGCCGTTATGATGCATGTATCCCCAGTTGTGTGTGCTGTTTATGTTTGATATTATGTCCTGTGCTTTCAGAACTGACTCTGAAAGTGAAGGTTTGTTTTGTCTTGTTATCAGCCAGTTCACCTCCCCCCATGGTCTGTTGTCTAGAAGAGGCTTGTGCTGGCTGGCTTTGCTTGCTTTTGCTTTTGCCTTTGCTTATTAGTTAGTTTAGCTAAGCAGCCCAATTTTTTTTCCATGGACTGTTTTCTTTCCCTCTCCTGAATATCACTATAACCTGCTCCGTACTGGGACCTGGGAAACACTGAGGAACACTGAGAGCCTGCGCTCTGCGATCTGCAGCAGCCATCCCCAGTGCCAGAGAGCAATCCCCAGTGTCCAGACCCGGGCGACCACTCCCAGGAGAGACTTTCTGGATTTGTCATCTCTTCAGAGCGGTGAAAGAGTTTTGTAGTCATCTGGTGTTGTTCACTTTTTTGGCGCTGGGGAGTGCTTTGTTTGTTAAATAAACAGGTTCTTTTCCACTTCTCTCCAAGAAAATTCTTCCCAAACCAAGTGGGTGGGGAGTGGCCGTAGGGGTTTGTTTTCTGGGGGCTCCTTCCAGAGGTTTTTCTCACAAATTTGCCCTAAATTAGGACAGGGGTCTACTTGGAGTAGTTCTCTCGGTGCTCCTACTACAGGTTTCCTACAGGCAGCTGTAGCCTGGATTCCAAGAGGGTTTGATAGCATGGGCCCTGCGCGCTCAGCCTCCGCCCGGTGCCCGCACGTACCAGCTGTTCGGAGGCCATCAGCTTGAGGAACTTCTTTATGAACTCCACGAGGCCCTGGATGGTCCGGGTCCGCTCCACCGCCCACTTCTTGGTCCTCATGATGGGGGTGTCGCCCACGGCCTTCAGCAGCACATCAACTGCGGGGAGCGCCGCGTCACACCGGGTGCGCCCCGCCGCTCACAGCCCCCGCCCCCCGCCCCTGGGCCGCCATGGCTGCCTGCCACCGCGCCCGTCACCGCGCTCCCCGCCCGCCACTGCGCCCCCCGCCCGGCGGACGCCTCCCGCCCCGTTACTTTTCTTTCTTGCGTCGCCCGCGGGCTCCTCAGAGCCCGGCGACCCGGCCGGGGGCGGGCCCGGTTCGGCGGGCCCCGCCGGAGCACCGCCTTCCTGTGCCTCCTCCGCGCCGTCGCTCCGGCCGCCGCCGTGCGGCGCGGCGGGAGGCGGCCGCTCCCCGGGCTCCGCCATGGCGCCGCTGCTGCGCGGGCGGCGGGAAGTGACGCCGCGCGAAGGGCGGCCTCCGCTCAACCAGGCGTTTTGTCCCTCGTGGGACGCCGGCCTTCTCGTCACGTGACGCGCCAGCAGCGTCACGTGCGGCGCGAGCCGTCCCGCCGGCAGCGACCGTGCCCCGCCGGTCACGTGGTGCGCGCGCCCCGCCGGCACCGGCCCGAAAGCGAGAGCGGGCGGGAGAGAAGAGAGACGGGAGGGAGCGGGACACAGCGCGGTTTGTCCGGCCCCTGCCGCCGGCCCCCGCCGTCCCCCCACCATGATCAAAGCCATCCTCATCTTCAACAACCACGGCAAGCCGCGGCTCTCCAAGTTCTACCAGCGCTATGTACGGCGGGCCGGGGCTCGGCGGGGCCGGGCGGGGGCCGTGCCATGGCCGGGCGGGGGCCGTGCCATGGCCGGGCGGGGGCCGTGCCATGGCCGGCCATGGCCGGGCGGCGGGGCTGTACGCAAGGCCCCCCGGCCCGGCCCTGCCGGCTGCGCCGGGCCCAGGGCAGCGCCGTGGGGAAGGGACGGTGTTGAGAGGGCATACATGAGGAGTTGCCTTTTAGGAGCTGCGGAGGTGAAGCGAAGAGGGAGGGAGCGAGTCTCGTCCGGCAGCAGGCTCGGCTCGCCGACCTGCCGTGTGAAGCGTCGCTCTAAGCTCCGCTGTCTGGCGCGGTGCTGCGTGTCTCTGTTACGGCAGGGCTGACAGAGCAGGGGAGATGGGCTCTTAAGCACAGCCTTTTCTTTCGGAAAGTCTCAGTGTGCTGTGAAATTGCAGTTGACGTGAACAACGTAACGAACTAGAAAAGAGCATTCTTTTACGTGGTGGAAGGCAGGCAGCTCTGAAAATGCAACACAAACACTCAATCTGAATGGAAAAAGGTGCCGTGCAAACTCGTGATTTAGTTAAAGGATAAGAGATTTTAAGATAATGTTTTGAGCGTAGTGTATTTCCTAGCAAATATGCTTGGGCATTAAAATACAAAAAACCAGTTGGTATTTCTTAAGGTAAACAACTCGTTTTCTAGCAGTGCAATTACTTTGGATTTGTGGCCCCTTTCTTGCAGTCCTGGTTATTAGAGAACTCAAAGTTCATTGGAAGGGATGTATCATACTTGTGCACCTCAGGGCAGAAATGGTGACTGTGACTCTTCAGTTTGCACGCTCAAGTTTTGAATTAAAGGAATGTTAACTGCTACAGGTCCTTCTCATGTGTGTGTGAAGTAGAAGGGAAAGGAGATGAACAAATGGCCAGAGGATACCAGATTTTTCTTCTAAAGCCATTCTGATCTACTAGTTTCATAGCTGGTCTTTAAACAAATTCTTAGTGCTTAAAGTAGGGTAATAATCTGTTTGTATAAACAGAATGCTTTGAAGTTTAGAAAATGTGAATAGGAAACGAAGAAACTTTCTGGTGTACAGAAGCAGGTGCAATCATATAGATTGTATTTTTGTGTGTGATTTCAATAATGTGAATTTGTTTGTGGACCTTTTGAAGCTTATGCATTCTTTAGTGTCAATTTATCTGGTACTGCAGGCAAATCAGCTTTTTTCTGTGAGGGGATGCATCTCATGCTTTCTAGAGAGATTAATTTAGTCAGATCCATGAAAGAGGTACTTCTTTCATAATACTAAAATTTATAACATGGATCCAACTTTTTTAGCTGATATATATGAGAACAGAAACTGCATAAAATGAAGTTAATAATATTTTGCAGTTAGGTAGAAAAATAATTTATAGGAATTAAAATATATGTCTTCATCTTTCAGAATATAGACCCATGGCTGTAATTTCAAAGTTAAAAAATAAGTTTCTAAAGAGCCAGAAGAATTCTGTCTCAGAAGTGATGTTTCTGATCTGCTAAGAGTTAAGGTCATGGCTTAGGAGAACCTGTTGCTCATAGTGCCCTTGTATTTCAGGAAATTTCTGGAAGTATTACATATTGTGGGGTCTGTAGCTTCCCTGCTCTCTTCAAGCTTTGGAGACTTCGTTTTATTCTCTGTTTATGGATAGAAGTAGTTTCAAAGCATGCCTGTAACTGTTCAGGCTACATTGGAGATACAAAAAAATCAAACTACTTGAGAGCACTTCTTGTTTACTTAAAAAAACTACTTTTAGATTAATTTTTACCAAAGTTCCCAATTTTCCACATTTCTCAGTAATACCTTCTTCTACAACTTGTAAATAATGGCTTTTTGTGTTGAAATGACACAAACAATACATGTCTTGTTAACTGGCAGATTTAAGGCTTCAGAAGTAGATTGAGAGTGCTGATATACTTTGTGGTTTACAGTCTTTTGTGCTGTTTTCATTGTCAATCCTTTTTAACAAAGTGTATTTTCTTTCACAGAGTGAAGATACACAGCAACAAATTATCAGAGAAACTTTCCATTTAGTATCTAAACGTGATGAAAATGTGTGTAATTTTCTAGAAGGAGGACTGTAAGTATCAAGTTGAAATAAATGCCAAATACTGGCTTTCAGGTATTTTTATTTCTGATTGCTGTACAGCTTTTCATGTTGTAATGTAACTGTCATGTCACTTGAGATTTGTTGATACTTGAGCAATTATATAATTTTGCACATATGTACATATTCTTTAATAACTGAAGCATAGCTATATGTACCAAATGTCTTAGGCAATAAATTTTTTTCCCTAGTGCTATAATGGCCACAGTGCCATACCTAGTCTCATGGTTGTTTCAGATGCAAAGATGGAGAAGGAACGGGCAGATACTCTTTCACTAGAATCAAGCTAAAGATTTCTGGTCACATTTTAAGAGGCACTGGCATTTGCCATACCCACTGACTCACAGAACCACAGAATATTCTGGAGGGACCCACAAGGTGTCTGAAGTGAATGACCTGTAGAGGAATCCACAGCCTAACCTTGGTGTTTTTAGCACTGTGTTCTGACCAAATGAGCTAAATCTCTAGAAAATTAAATACTTCGGAACTGTTCTTTGCCTCGAGCTCCTAAAATTTGAGTAGACAGACTTTGATAGTAGGATTCTGCAGCCTTTTTGTCAGGATTTGGGCTTGCTTTATGAACTAGGAAGAAAAAAATTTGTTTTTAAATGTGCTAACTAGTATCGTTTCAACCAAGGTATTTTATTAATAAAGGAAAAGCAAGGTAGGAGGGAAGTGAGGCTTATGTGTTCTGTCTCTGTAAGACACAAAAAAAACCTCTTTTGAATCATCTTCATTGTTTTTGAAAGTCAGCTTGCTTCAGCTGAAGAAATTCTGAAATTGAGATGTGTTTTATTTTGAAGTATTTATTAGCCATTGAGAGTAAATAGATAAAAAGCCACCTTCTAGAAGAAGGGATCAGAACTGGTGGAATAAATTCATGATCTCTATGACAGAGATTGTGACACAGATCTCATGTGACAGAGATTCTCATAGTCTGTTAAATATTAGATTTATGGGAATTTCTGGTTACTGGATGTTGGTCTGCTAACACCTAGATTTTCTGTATTCAGAGTCAATTAAACGCTTAGCTGTACCATATCAGCTAGAATGTCTTTTTTCTTGCTCAAAATGATTCATGATTTTTTTTATATACTGTTTTTAAAATTTAAATTATTCTTTTTCAACTACTCAACTGGTGATTCTATCATCAGGTTCTTGGAGATGATCTCAGTTTGGAAACATTCTGGCTTGAATTCTGTAAGTGAAAGGCAGAAGGCATTTGGAGCTTTTTAAAAATCACAGCTGCTTAACAAGAATAAACTGAGACAGAACAGAATTCTGGCTTTCCTCCTACTGCTCAATTACAGGGTTACCATTTCAATATTTTTCAGTTTTTTTCTTTCGGGACAGGGTTCACTTTATAGTTTGCAGTTTATCCAAAGGCCTCAATAGTTTATGTGTAGAACTGTGTGTATTTCAAGTATGGAGTATTTGAAAGAATGGGTCAATAGATGACAAAAGAAGAAACTTCAATTGTTAGGTCTTTCCACTGTCCTATTTGTTTGTAACAGTGTTGTCTGATACATAAAGGTAATTCCTGCTCTTCAGAAACAAAAGGTCCCCCTTCCCTACCCCCCTCTCTGCCAAGCATTAATGCAGCACAATGTGCTTAAACAAAAGTGAGCTAAAATATTTTTTTTTTTAATCTGCGCGGTCTCTTTGTGATAATGACAGAAACTAAAGGGATGAGTTACATCGCACCAAATGGGTGATTCATTTCTGGTACAGAATTAAGGAAAAATCACGATAGTCATGGCCATGTAGGTTCCGCCTAAAAAATACTTTTTTCTCTCTATGAGTGGGCCTCTTACAGCTCAGAGCAAATGTCAGTGATCTGATGTAGATGTGCTCTGTTTTATGTGCTTTTTTTTGTAAGGCCATAGCAGAAGAGTGGAAGAACATACCTCTTTAGACCTCTTCTCATTTGGTGCCATGATGATTAGTGAGTCCATAAAAATCTAATTGCTTCTGTGACTGTAACATTGCATCAAGAACTATTGCTTGAAGTATGATCCCACTTCTCAAGATGTAAAACGTTTCGTAGCACAAGTGTTACATGTTCTTGGTTATTAAATGGATCATAAACCAATTTAAGGCTTTTTTTTTGTAATCCAAATGCCAGTCTTCATTAATTTTTTTTTTCTCTTGATGCTCTTTTGAGAAGGTCAGGGAAGGGTTCATAGGCATATACTGTTAATCTGTAAAGCAGATTAATCTCTGTGCAGTGCTTGCCTGCAGTGTGGAATGGAAGTACATTTAATGCCTGCTTTTATGTGATCTGTTTGAATTGATTTTCTTAAAGGTGCACAAGTTGATGTCATTTTTATCCATAGGGATAACAGTAACTGCTTGTGTGGTAAATGTAAATTGGTCTGTCTTGTTACTTAGTCTTCTATTGGAAGTACATTACAAAACAAAAGTTGCAATGTAGTTGGATTTGGGAGAGCTCCAGCTGTTAACAATAGGCCTCCTGTTAATTGAAATAACTGTGAGCATTTGCTAAACTTATCCTGAGATGCTAACTAAACTTTCCTTGTTTTATTTCCTCTTTAGATTA